AGGTCTCTGCCCCGAGCAGTCTCCCTCACAGAAGTTAGTTTCATTCTGTGAGGCACACACCCAGTGCCCAATGCTGAGCCTGGCACACACTAGACGCTCACTGAACTCAGCTCTGTGCATGTGGCTCTCAAGTCACTTCCTCACAAGCAAAAGCATGTTCCAGGCATCAAAGAAAGGCATCTCTCACGACTGTAAAGCATTGTGCCAAAGTAGCTCAGAGTGTCTATATCAAGCCACACATGGTCGCTCATACCTATAATCCCAGTACCTGGAAGGCTCAGACAGGAGGCTTACAAGTTTGGATACAAGACACTATAAACTACACAGAGCATTTAGGGTGAGCCTCAGCCACATATCTAGACCCTGTCTCAGAAACCAAGAATAAAATCAAACAAAAGTTTAAAAAGCAACTTACGTACCACAGACTGCGACTGTGAAGCCAGCTCCACTCAGTCAATGTCTGTCCTTACAAGCCCTCTGTGCATTAAACTAAGGAAGACAGAGATTGGCTGAGTTCTCAGTCTTAGCTCAGCTAACAAAGGCCCTTCTAGCAGAAATAAAGGACTAGAAACCATGTGTCATGGTGGCTTCAGAGGCTCCATACGGAAGTGGCCAGTGGCCTCGGAAGCTTCTCATAGGCAGAATACAGCCTCAAAGGTGGGCTAAGTGTTGTTCTGGCTGGCATTCCCAAGCAGATGAATGGACCAGCCAGCTGACTCTAAATGTCTCCCCAAGTTTGAAACTATATCTTTGGGCATGGGGAAGACATGGTAAAATGTGGCCTGGAGAAGAAACCACCATGGGAATCCTCACACGCCCTAAACAGCAGGCTGGAAAGACGCCACACGGCAAGGATTTGGGATGAGCTAGCTGTGTGAGAGAAGGCCCTGGGTTTTATAGACATATGGGACTCATCTACAAATATGGTACTTCCTTTTTTTTTTTTTCCTGTAGTACTGGGGATTGAACCCAGGACCTCATGCATGTCATGTACAGACCTTTCCTAATACCTAAGCTGAGGTAGGGACAGTTCTTCACATCACACACGTGCCTCCACCACTGTGCAGCTGTCTTCAAAGCCCACTCTCTAGGTCCCACTCAGGGCTCTTCTGCCCTCCTTCCCTTCCCTTCGCTCACATGGCCCTGGGCCTGAAGCTGGACTTGGATTCTGAGGGGAGATTTCAATGAACAATGAATGAGGAACCCCAGTATTTCCCTAGGCCCTCAGAGTCTCCAGCCCACAACAGGGAGGCTCTTGCCCCAAGACTGTGAGCTAATTTCTTCTCTGGAGCCCTCAGGATAAAATATCAGGTGGGCATCCAAAGCTGCAACAGGCCTGAGGTTTCCAACTGCCAGGAGGTATTTTTCTCCCAACCTCAAACCTGAATAGCTCAGCACCACCCATGCCAGGGGGGCTGAGGTCTAGCCTGTGCTCTCTCCAGGTAGGCAAACGTCCCTGTGCCTGCTAGAGGCAGGGCTCGCTGTTCCCTATCCTGGAGGAGACACTGTCAGGGCTTGCAAGGGCCCTGGAGTTCTGAACCCAGGCAGCCACGCTTCCACCACAGTCCTGCCTGAGCACACTCCCACATCTCATCTGGGGCAGGGCTTCCCTTGAATTCCGTGAGCCAGGCTGTTCTTAGAAAGGCTGCTGCTGCGTCTTCTGCAGCATCTCCAGGCACTCTGCACTTGGAAGGCTTCCAAGGGCATTCCACTGTGGCACCGAAAGTGTCTGCATCAGTATTGGGGTCCCCCCTTAGGACTTGTGCAGAGATGCCTTCTCTGGCTGGCCTCCGATCCCAGACACAGGCCATGTCCCAGCAAAGACTCACGGGAGACCAACACCTCCTGTGTGCCAGGCATAGCTTTGGGTCTTGAGGGTCCAAACAGGAAAAGGCTGGGCCTGGGCCCAACAGCAGTATCGTGATGGATGAATGAGACAGGGATCTCCGCTATGCTCGGTCACTTAACTTGCATTCTACTATTCGGGCTTGTACGGCTCCTTAGCAGCGTCTGTATGTCCCCATCTTACCTCAAGCACACCACCTGTTCCTGAAAGCAGTTCCCCTTCTCAAGGGCCTGGGACAGGGCTCCGCTCCTCCCCATGAATGTTAAAAGACGAAAGCACCTCTCGCCTAACTCACTCTCCTGCATCCAGATGAGGCTGCAGCCTGATTCTGCCAGCTGGGCCTCCAGCATGACACAGCATCCCCGCCTGGCTTCCCTAAGGAGCCGGCAGCCCTGTGTGACAAAGGATTCTCCGACAATGAGAAGAAGAGGGTCTGCTCTATTGTCTACAGCAGCCCTGCCAGGGTCCAGGTCCCCCATCACCTCAGGATACCTCCTCACTCAGCACAGCGGCCCCTGCTTCCCCTTCCCCTATTGTACTAGCTGTGGTTCTGATCCGCAGCCCATGCCACTGAACTTGCCACTGGTCTTTATTCTCACCCTAACCCAGCAGACCTATTCCAACTTATGCATGGGCTGCCATTCACAGTCAGTTGGGGTGACCAGAAGCCTGGGGGGGGGGGTCGGGTGCCTGTGGAGGGTTCCCTTTCAACGTAAACAACAACCACAGACTGTGCTCCTCAAATCTGCGTAACACGTACGCTAGCTGGTTTTAAGTCAACTTGACAGAAGCTGGATCGTGTGGGGAAGCGAACCTCAACTGAGAAGAAGTCCACACCAGTTTGGCTTGCGGTGCATTAACTTGACGGATGACTGATGTGGGAGGGCCCAGCTCATTTTGGGTACAGCCATCCTTGGGCTAGTCGTCCTGGGTATTATAAGAAAGCAGGCAGAGCAAGCCAGTAAGCAGCGTTCCTCCACGGCCTCTGCATCAGCTCCTGCCTCCAGGTTCCTACCTCAAGTTCTTGCCCTGACTGCCTTCAGTGGACTGTGATGTGGAAGCATGAGGGAAATGAACCCTTTCCTTGCCAAGTGGCTTTTGGTCCTTTTATTTTATCTCAGCAACAGAAACGTGACTAAGACAACATGTGACCCTTGATTCATGTCCAGTGCCTGGCCTGGTTGCAGATCCCCTCCTTGGGACAGAAACACTGTGGCTCCGGGAGCCCGGAGGTCACTTTGTTAAAGGCCCCTTTCCCATCCCAGATGAGCATCAGTCACACAGCTGGTCCTCAACTGGTTGTGAAGCACTTCCTCAGCTGAGTCCTTGAGTTCGACCTCACTGTCACAGTACCTTCCTTCCCAGGGTCGGCTGCTCCAGCCTCCGCCCCTTTGTACCTGCAGGGCATTACAGCAGAAGGCCCTTTTCTGTCTCCTTTGGCTAGTTCCTCCCTCTCCTTTAACAGTGGATGCTTGAGCTGCCTCCTTCAGGAAGACCTCCCTGATGGCAGGTGCTCTATGTCATCATGCACTTGAAAAATCGTAGTGAAATGTGACAGTTTGTGTTTCTCTCCTACTACATCTGAGTCAGGGCTCTACGCCTGCCCTCTGTTGTAGCCCAAGTCTAACACAGGGCCAGGCCTAAAAACAAAGCCAAACAGCAATGGAGAATGTTGTGTCAACTGCAGGGTGATCAACCAAACCCCGTTGGTCCATCCCACCCCACGCATACACATTTTCCCTGTATCCACTTCTGGGTCATTATCCAATCTAAAACCCCTCGCACCCAATACCTAGCTAGACCTACTCCCAAATACGTCTCTTCCATTAAACCATCTCAAACTGGTCCTACTCTACATATCATTGCTATGGAAACTGCCTCCCATCTTTTATCTATTCCCCAATCCTTCTCTGGAGTTAGTTCACTGGTGGGTCTAGCTCCCTGGCTGGTCATGACCAACACAAAGCACCTGAAGGGTTCCAGGGCTCCATTCACAAAACAACAAGGATGATGTCAGATGATAAAGCATCCTTAGCACTGTGCACTGAGGGTGTGGAGCCTGGAGATATAAGGTTCACGTGCCTGTTCTAAAAATTATTCGGGACTTGGGCATATCACTAACAATGGAGACTTGGTCTCCTCACCTGTAAAATGGGCCAGGGAGATGAAACCAACCATATAGGCGGAAATGAAAAGTCTACATGGGTGATTCATGTACTACACATAAATCCAGGTGAAGCACAACCCCCTTCATCTTCTCCCCCATTGCCATTCTGTCTTTGCTGAATTCAGCTAAAGAGCTTGGAAAACACAAGGCCATAGTAGCATTTAGCATCTAGGTCCATGCCATAGGGCCAGAAAGCAACACACTGAATAAGAACGCCACAAGGCCTCCAGGCCTCAAGAGCCCTCGTTTATTCTTGGATGCCAAGACAAAATACAAGGCAACAAAGGCCGGCCCTGAATCAGGAAAGCAGTCTCCAGCCAAGCGGACGTCCAAGGAAAGAGAGGGAAAAGTGTGCAGACTGAAAAGTAAGGTCCACTGTTTGTTTGTTTTTATTTTTTGGTAAGAATCTGGTGTAGAAAAAGAAATTGGGTCAGTTGTGGTGGCACATATCTACACCAGTAAGCTCTGCTGAAGAGGTGGAGGCAGGAGGATCATGGGAAAGAAATTGGCTAAGAAATCATGAAAGACCAAGGTTTCCTGCCCCACTCTGCCAAGAGCTCCATGTGACCCTGAGTAAGCCTTTTTACTTCTGAGGCCCGGTGGTCTTTGCATGGAGATAGGTAATCTGCTTCTCCATCCAGCCTGCCCGGCTCCAGGGATGGGTCTGTTCTCACCCTGTTCTGAACCACAGCTCGGCTCGGGCTACAGACGGCAGCTAACACGTGACCAGGTAAGTTCTACAGAACACCACTGTGGGGAGTTCTCGAGACTGTAATTTGCCTGTCTGTTTGTATGTCTTCCTGTCTCTCTAGAAACAAGATTCTGCATCCCATCCACCCACCTCCAGCTTCCACCATACAATCAGCAGTTCTATTACCTTAGAGACGGGACAGTAGAAATGGAACCTGAGGGTGACAGAGACCACAAGTGAATCTGGGACTAGATGAAAGCAGCCTTATATTAACATCTACACAGACCTTGTAAGCCCTGAAGGGCCTCACACTAATATCATAGACTAACATACTAACACACCAATATCACAGACCTCATATTAACATCATATACTAACTTATCAATATCACAGACCTCATACTAACATCACATACTAACAAACTAACATCACAGACCTCATACTAACATCACATACTAACACACCAACATCACAGATCTCATACTAACATTACATACTAATATACCAGTATCACAGACCTCGTACTAACATCACAGACCTCATACTAACATCACATACTAACAAACTAACATCACAGACTTCATACTGACATCACAGATCTCATACTAACATCTACACAAACCTTGTAAGCCCTGCAGGAATTCATACTAACATCACATACTAACATACTAATATCATAGACCTTATACTAATATCTACACAGACCTTGTAAGCCCTGCAGGGCCTGGTGAGACCTTGGCCCAAACCACAGCTCCTCTCTGAGTCATGGTACAGTAGAGCTGGGGGTGGGAGCAGAAAGAACATCTTCACAGTGTCTTGGTGTGCAGAGGAACCCGCTGGTTGGCTTCCGGGTACGTCTCCATCAGCTGCCTACCTCTTACAGAAGGACATACCTTCCTAGGGCTGCGACCCTTTAACACAGTTCCTCATGGTGTGGTGAACCCCCCCCCCGCCCCCATCATAAAATTATTTCCTTGCTCTTCATAACTGTAATCTTGTTACTGTTGCAAACTGTAATGTAGATATCTGTTTTCCAACTCTACAGCCAACCCTGTGAAAGGTCGTTTAACCCAGAGGTCTGGACCCACATGAAGACTCCAAATGGCCTGCGGTTCAGGTAACAGGGACATGAGGACCATTCCCACCACAGCTTTCCTCTCCCTTCGCTCTATGATGCCAAAATGAGACCTGGCAACCGACATATGCAAACCTGATTAGCTCCCAGGGTAAGCACTATGAAATACTGATGACTGGTTACCTTCTTAGGGCTCTACTCTTGGTGTGTAACTTAACTAATCCTGCTGTAACTTGTGTGCCCAAAACAACATGGATTGTGTAGTCTACATGGATCCATCATAAGTACTTGAGAAGCTAAAACTCCTATATCCACCACAACAGCTAGAACACAATTTTAGACACTAACACAGTGGTTCTCAATCTTCCTAATGCTGCCACCCTTTAATACAGTTCCTCATGTTGGGGTGACCCCAGCCATATAAAATTATTTTCATTGCTACTTCATAACTGTAATTTTCCTACTGTTATGACTCATAATGTAAATTTCTGTGTTTGCTAATGTATCATAGGCGACCCCTGTGAAAAGGTCATCCAAACTCTCACAACGTGTTGAGAATCATTGCTTTGCACATAGCAGGGACCAGTTGTTAATTTCTCTTGCACGTACTTCAAGATACACAAGCTCAAAGGTGCCCAGTACCCATTTGTGAGTGAATGAGTGGTTCGGATAGTTTACTGATCAGGTTGCTAACCTGAAAATCCCCCCAAGCCCATGTCTGAGAACCTTCATTTGCATGAATGTTGAGGCGCTCACACAGACATGTAGGGATGCTTTGCTGTTTCCTAGGTTGGACCATTCCCTAGAGAGGGAGGAAGACAGGAACACAGGGAGGGTTGCATGGTTAATCTGATGGCACTGGAAGCAGTACAGAGCACATCTTGGCAGCACTTGGGATCCTGAAGCAGGAATGTTGTATGAGTTCCAGATCTACCACTCTGGGTTGCATTCACCCCAGTCCAGCCTGTCTCAAAGAAACAAACAACAAAAACCTATGCAACAAACACATCTTGGATTCCCCAAGGACTCCATGAACACACCTCTATGTACAAGTGCATGTGCACCCTATGTGCTTATTATATGTTGATATGTAGTAGGTATGTCACAGCTGGCATGTACTTATCAACATCACATCATCAGATGGGTGATAAAGACCCGTGGTTTATAGTGGCTGCTTTCACTATCCACTGTTATTTATTTTGATGAAATCCAAACACAGGTGGTATACACCTTTAATCTTAGCCTCTCCTGGTCTACATAGGGAAGCCAGCCAAGGCAATTCAGTGAGACCCTGTCTCAAAGTAACAACAAAAAAGTGTTTTGACAAAGAACAAGTACCAGCATAATTTACCCTGTTCTCAGGCTAATTCCTGGGGGTACCAAGAACCCACCCCCCAAAAAAAGGGTCACTATTTAATAAAAAGCTGTGGGTACTAGGTACACACCTGTTATCCCAGCAGTTGGGAGGCGGTGGTGGCCCGGCAACACTGGGGAGCCCCTGTCTTAAACACCAATAAAGCTATGGCCTGCAAAGCGAAACCACAAGTGCAGGAAAGCTGCCCTTTACTTAGGCTCTAGGCAAGTGACATCATTTCCCTGAGCCTTAGTGTCCTCATTTGTACAGTGGAATTTGTCCTTCCCTACCCGACAGGATCTTTTTCATAAATGTAATGGCATGTAGGGGGGAAGCTGCCCTGTAAAATCATACAAACATGTTCTTATTCTAGAAATCTACTCAACTCAATGGCACTATACCCAGAACGCCTTAGAAATGACTTCCTATGAGCTGGGCGTTCCTCACCAGGCCAGGCGCTGGACACACGCGGAGCCTATTGCCCTGTCCCGTGGAGTCCTATTTCACACACTCAGAGGACTTTCCTTGGGCCACCGGAGAGCGTCCTGCCACTATCTAATGTCTGTGGAGGGCAATCTGCTCCTGTATAATTGTGTTATTTGAAAATCCTGGCGATTTCCTTGCAGGGCTCAGGGCTGCTGTGAGCGGAGATTCCAGAGGTTTGGGCCCAAGTCCTACGCTGGGCAAGAAGAACGCGGCAGGACAGCCTATAGCTCCTCCCCGTGCTCTGCCTCGCCTTCCTCCGAGCAGAGGCGGTGCTTGAGCTGTGTCACTTTCGACCTGGGGAGGCTCCCAACACCCGAGCCTGCAGCTTCTTCCGAGGCGTCCAGGCGGTGCAGGGGCCCCTAGCCAGAGGAGGATAATCTCAGCGCTTCAAAAATGACAGCCGGGGCGGGCGGGGCAGGCAGTGGAGTGTGACCCCGCAGGCCTGCGGGCAGAGGCAGACAGGGCCTAGGCTGCGACTATCGGGCTATCCGGCAGGCTTTGGTCCTCAACTGAGGAAATGAGAGCTAGGAGGGGTGGCTGAACGGGTGGGTTCTCTCCAAGATCTGGGAAGACAGCTGAGAGAATGCGCAGGTACGAGCATCACCGGGACCCTCCGTACTAAGGTCGAGGATCCTGAGCCCCCGCGCGGAGTGCAGGATGGGTGGGTGGGGCGCCAGAGTTTGGGTGGATCCTCCCAGCCGGCTGGGTGGGCAGCCAGTCACTGGACTATGGGGACAAGAGAAACGCAGAGGGAAGGCCACATAGGGCTTGGGACTCGCGCCGCGCGCATCCGGAGAACCCAAGCCACCTTAAGGTCTTCCCCGGCGCTGGACGGAAGAATTCCTTAGAAACGCAAACGTGGACACACATAAGATAGAGAGCCCAACTCACACCATTTGGGGCTGACTGGGCCAATCCCATGAGGCATCCACCCTACGCTGTTCTCCACTATGCCGCCCCCTCCAAGACCAAGCTGTGTGTACACACACAAACAGTTGGGCGGGGGAGGCGACGCCTCCCTCCTGGTAGGGACACGCAGGGCACAGCCACCGATCCCTCCCTTCTACATGCCGCGCCCCCTTCTCAGCTCACACGCCCCCTGGCCCCTACCCGGAGAACTCTGCAAAACCAGAGCCAAGGAGGCCGAGAGAAGCGTTTGACTCCTGGATTGTCTTTTATTGCCAATAAATAACCAGCTCTGACTCCCGGTCCTGGGGACGCCTCCTCCGGTGGCATCCAGGAGCCCGCACGCGGCCCTCTGGGTCCCCTAGACATCAACCTCAGCCAAGCCACCGCCCCCATCTTCCCCCTAAAACCCGCGACTGTGACCGTCACCTGCTAGGCCCCCTCACTCAGCTTTTGGGAGCTTGTCAACTTAACCCCAGATCTGCAGGGCGTATCTATCCCCCAGGCCCCATTACTCCGAGGCCACAGGAATGATCATTCTTAAAGCCAACAGAATCGCCACGGCGGAGAACGGCCAAAGCTGCCACTGCAATGGATCTACCAAGGCTGCCTCCACGGCTCCCATCCGCCGCGCCCTCCGAGGCCCGCGGGCTCACCAGAGACGAAAGGAGGGGTCTGCTGCCTGTCTAGACGAGAGCCATCCACAGATACCGCCGAGCCCGCTAGGACTGTCGCGGCCACAGACACCATCCGTCAGCACGGAGGGAAGGGCAGCGTGGACGTACACACACACACACACACACACACACACACACACACACACACACACACACACACACACCACACACACACACTCCGGTTCCCTCCCGCAGCCCCGAGTGCTGCAGCCGCGCCCGCCGCCGCCTCTCCAGCCGCGCTCCGACCTCGGCGCAGAGCGCGGTCGGAACAGCTGCAAGTTTGCCTGGCGCTGGAGCAACTGCTCGTTGCAGCAAACGAGGCTCCAAAACAAAAGGGAGAGGAATCTCGCTCGCGGGCTTCCTCCCCGCGGGTCGGAACCGGGCACATGACATCGGCTACACCGCGCAGCTCCAACGCGAGTGGGGCTCCAGACGCGCGTCCCCCCAGGAACCCTTCTGGGTTTCGGAGGTCCGGTGTCACGATCCCTACAGCGCGGGGAGCGGGGCCCACCACAGGGCAAACCCTGGGAAGGGGCGAGATGGGAGACTGAGATGCCCCCTAGACCCAGAGGAGGGGACGGTGGAAGGGTGCGGACACCGGGCTGGCTAAGGCACTGGAAGGGGGAAGGGGGAGAATTGTTTAGGGCGGTTTTCCCGGATTTATCTATCATCAAGAGCACGTCATGTAGCCCTCCTCCCTCCCGGGTCCCCGAATCCACCCGCAAGCCGAGGGGACTAAAAGAGGAGGGCGGACAAGAGATGCTCACCTCGGGGTTCCTCTGGCCGCCGCGCGGAGCCCGCGTCGGGGGTGGGGGAAGGGGGCAGGGAAGGGGAAGGGAGGGACCAGGCTCCAGAGAGCCGACTCCTGCTGGGAGTTCGGCGCGTCTCAACCGTGAGGGGATCCGGCACCCCAGCGGACCGATCCAGTCGAGAAGGGAGGGAGGGAGGGAAGGGAGACAGGGAGGGAGGGGCAGGCAGAGGGAGGGAGTAGAGGAAGGAAAAAAATGATCCCTGTACTGACACAGGGAAAGAGAATGTAGGAGAGTGACGTCCAGGCCCCGCCTCCCCCTCCGGCCACGTGCAAGACTTGAAAGGAAAGAGGGAGACGGCAAGCCTGCTGGGTAATGTAGTTCGCCTTTCTTTCCTGGGATGGCGGGCCCTAGAGAGCTGGGAACCAAGGGGACGCCGGGGATGCCGCCTGAACTGCCTGGACGGACCAGTGTTGCCCTTCAGCATCCTCCCTTCAACGACCTCTTGCGCTAGCGGGGCCCTCTGCTGTCGGGGACAGAACTGAGGGTGAAGGCATCGTCTCTCTTGCAGGGAAACACTTGGTTTTAGAATCAGGCAGGCTGTAAGGATGAGGACTTCCGCGCTTCAAGTGTAAAGTCTGCCCTAATGAATGATAAGAGAAAGCGTAGTGTATGCACTGGGAGAGATGTTGTGGGGGAGACAAGTGGCATTATTAATGCGGCATTAAGTGCCACCATAGGTTATTGAGATTCACATGTAATAATTAACGTTTGTGCATCGCTGTGGCAGGGACGGAATGTTGTAATTAGATATGCACTTTGCGACCAATTAATTTTCCATTGGCCATGCTAAAAGCTGAGGCATTGTAGCTGGAAGAATTCGATGGCAGTGGATAATGCGGTCATCACTAGACCAGATCTCCACGGTCTTGGTTAAAACTGAGATTAGCGCGGAGGCCTCCAGGAGGAATATAAGATGCTGAATGTCTCACCGAGTGGTGGCGTCCGTCGGGTGCATATTGGAGGTATTGGAACGGACCTGCTGCAGAAATCCTTTGAGTGATTAATTTGTAAAACATCCAGTGAACATATCCAGGCATGCAGGGACCAGGAAGCCCCTCAGTCTGTGTCCTCTAGGAGCTCAGTCTTGTGGGAGGGCCACAGTCTGTGAAAGAATAGGGGAATAAGTGAGCTCTTAACACAGGGACTAGCCCAAAGCACCATGGGACCTCCGGAGGAGCGGCCAACCAGGATGCGGTAGGAAGGCATCCTGAAGGAAGGTACTTGAATGAAGAGTTAACTAAGGTTTTTAACAAGGGGCAGGGCGTCTGTTACAGCTATGGAAGGTTCTAGATTCAAGAGAAGAGCTAATTCTGCAGCTCCTAGCTATTCGGCTGGACAGGGGACAGGTTGCTGGGTGGGCAAGGGTAGGGCAGAAAGCAAAGAATGGCTAGAGGGTTAGTCTAGAGGGCAGAAGGAGCCCGGAGCTGCTTGCTGGAAGAGGCGGGGCTTGGAGTGGTGGATGGGATTTTGTTTTGTAGTAAGCTTTGAATACTGAATGAACCAGACCATGGGCAGAAAGCAAAACAGAATACATGTTCACAACCTGTGAAGAGTTCCTTTGACTTTTAAACCAGAACCAAGGTGCTCAGTGGGTCTCTGTCTCTTGTCTC